GTAAAGGTTGTGAGCATATATACGGTATTTATGATACATAATATTTTCATACACACACACACACACACACACACACACACACTAAAGTCCAGCAAAAAAATTATTAAGAAGATAAAGTCACCTTCCTTTTGTAAAATGAATCTCACCATTTCAAAATCAACATTTATCACAGGGCACTGCTGTTGGCTCCTCTGGTATACTGGGAGCAATATAGTTTTTATGCTAATTATTTCCCTTCATGCTGGCTACAAGATAGATATCTTGCAGCTAACCATAGTTACATTATAATAGAAAGAGATTGTATGAAGACACAAAATCCTCTTATGCAGTCCAATTTAGAATCCACTTGAAAAACTCTACAGCGCTACATCTAGAAACTAAAATGTTCTGGGAATCTTATATTTCTGCATATATCTGTTAAGCTGAAATTTTCGTATGATTTTTATAAAGATTTTTATAATGATTCCCTCTTTATAGATAATTAATATTATGTCTTACTCTATCTGCCATGACAGTAAAATGTAATTTGATTTTTAGGCTAGGTTTCTAGGTTTGCATTCAGTTTTATACGTTCTGTAGAGAAAAATATATTTACAATGACAACAAAACTCAAGGGAAGGAAATGGTACTTGACTTACCACTGCAACTAGTAAAGATAAGCTTTTATTAAAATTAACTACTGAATACCTTAAAAAACAACAAAATTTACTCTACTTTGAAATCCTAGCAGTCTTTCTATTTTGTCAAAAGAACACATAATTATTTCAATGGGTCTTTAAAATTTTAATTCAACTCCTTAAATCACTTAGCATCTACCAATTACTTTCTTTCTAATTCATTTTATAAAAATAACTTATAGTTAATATCATTAGCATTAAAACCACTAAAGTTAAATAGGGCAAATGGACAGACTATTAGTGGTCTTGCAAAAACTAAAATAGTGCATGAGGTTTGTGTTCAACTTCATAGATTAAACCACCAAATCAACATTGCACAAATTCAATATCTTTAGTGCTTGAAGAAACTGAGTAGTATACCTGATTTAATAAGATATTGGCTATACTATACATAAAAACAAGAAAAACGTACAATTCCTAAAAAGTAAAAACAGGGATTTCATTGTAATTTTATTATTAAAAAATACTTAATTTTGTTTTTCTCCTACCTACTCTTTGTCATCACAACTGCTCTAGAACAGACTGAATGAATAGAGGACTTTCACGTCTCACACAATAAGCATTACAAGATTTCCATATGTCCCAAAGTTTGTGCCTCATTAACACAATAACTTTGAGGAAATTATCTCCCATACATATAGATTAACTTAAAATTGATTTTCATAACACCTGTTATATATATATACCTATATACCCTGGAGAGGTCCTCTCATATGGATTTGGCATATCCAAATCTATCCTTAATTTTAGAAGTTTTATCAGTATTTTTACATATATTTCATTTATTTTTCTATCAAATGTTACAATGCCTAACATTTATATTCACCTGACAGTCTTGTTTTTCTTTCCCTAAAACCTAAAACTAGGTATGATCAAATGTGGAATACAAAAATAGAATTGGTAGATAAGATATAAGATGTTCCCTTGTACAGAAATCAGCACTGAGTCTTATAAAAACGAGAGCTTTTTCAAAAATCACACTGCTAGTCATAGAAGACTTAAACAGAATTCAAGTTTTCTAATGTCAAAACCAATGCTTTTACTATTTATTCATGCTGCCTCCTGGGGCACTGGGTTACTCTCTCTTGAGAGATTTTTGAAACCAGGATTTTCTCTCTGGGGATATTTAAGAACCATTTAGCAATTGTAGCCATTGAGTGACACCTCAAAGAAGGAAAGGGGGGGAGGGAGAAAAACAAGGAAAGAGGGACAAAAGGAGGAGGAAGGGATTTACTAAAGTCTTGGATGGAGTTAAGGTTTCCTAAAATGGGTTACTAATTTCTGAACAGGTATATACTGACTTGTGTGACACAAATATTGGCTTCATATGAGCATTTCACATTTGATTATACCAGACAATTTGCCCATAGAGTATGAATTATATGGAAATAAGTCACTCCAAGTACAAATGCACCATGTACCTAAGCAGTTCATCTACCTCCAGTGACTAAGTATGCAACCTTCTACACTTCCCAGAAACAAAAGCCAGTCAGACAAGAGGCATTCACACTGAAAGAGATAATAATCAGTTAATGACTGAGTCTCCCTAAAGAGTCAAAAGCACATTCTAGGGGGATTTCCTTTGCATATGAGATTCAAAAATAAATGCCCAAATTTAATATTTTAAAACCACCTCCCACTTAAATATATTGAAATAATTGTTCAGTAACTATAAATTAGCATAGATTTAGTTCTGAAGAAAAAAAATTAAAAAGAAGAAAGGAGATTTTTAAAAGCAAAACAAATAAAATGGTGGCTCATAGAAGAAATTGTAGAAGTAAATGCAGTTAGATAGGTTAAGCTGATACCTAGGATTTAACTTCTCTCTCATTCTCTTTTTATTTCCATAGCAAATATCTTTTAAAGCTCAATTAATTTCCTTTCAACAAATATACTATTTTATGCTTTAATAGTTTTTAAAGTTCTTAACACCAAAGTAGACCCTAACTCATAAAAGGATGTGACTTGGTGACATATCGCCCCATCAAAATTATAAACGGGGAACCCAGAGGTTTGTTGAGGGCTACAAGAGAGAGAAATGTTCATGTAGAATCAGAAACTGATTTTTTTTTTCAATCTAACATGCTGCCTTATGGATAAAAAGCAACCAAATTGAGAATCAGTAACTGTCAGGCCTGTTTGCATATAGTGACCTCCTCTCCTTGTACTACAGGAAAACATTTCCACCTAGAGTTCTTTCACAGAATATCTAGAGACCAAACAAAATCAGCCATAATGACTACCAGAGTCAGATAATAATCAGTTTTTAATTGAAGCACCAAGCCAATTAATTTGTGACAACTTCCTATCACTTCTTATTCTTGACATGAAGTTTCAGAGGACATGGTTTTCAGGCTCATGGCATGGCATCTCTGAAAGAGTTCAATGTTTGGACTCTTTAAAAATCACATTTATTAAAGAAAAAAATCTTTAAGAGATGGAGCCCTAAAACTAAATTTGAGATTACAAACCAGCCCCTCTACTTTGATTTAATTGTCTAGAAACACAATGTCCCTTAAGCTTCACATACACAGATTCTTAATACTAGCAGATCTTCCTTTGGTTTCAGAGGTTTCAGAAAGACAACGGAACCCTTAATATGTTTTTTCTTTGGCTAATTGCATTCACCAAATGAGTGATTTTTGTCTACATATGCAGATTTTTTTTCTATAAATGATTCACAGTCATTTCTCACGACACAAAATTTCCAAAAGATACAGCTTAAGAACAAACGATCCTTTGAGGGACTCCCGTAACATTTATTCTTGCTCCCAGACATAGCTCTATCCAATGTAATACATGTCTGACAAAGTTTATGTAAATCTTCTCTGAGATGATGCCATGTGTTATTCTGGAATAAAAAAAATCAATAAATTGTCCTGCTTCCATTTTCACTAAATTACAATTGCTATATAAAAATATTAACTTATATATTAACCTTAATTAGTAAGGTAAGTAACCAATGCCCTCTACATAAATGATAACCAAACCACTTCATCTATCATCACTGGTTAATCACTTCTCTGAAATACCTGTAAGGTGAAATACCTGACAGAATCTCACAACACATTTCACTGGTTTTCAACAGGAAGCACTTCATATTTTTTTCTTCCTCACACTCCAAGTGTATTGGAAGTAATGCACACTAGTAGAAGATGATGATGATACACTGAAAAAAAAATCTCCTTTTAAAATGTTAGCCACTGCTTCCTATTTCTTAAAAAAAAAAATATTGTTCATTCTTTCAGCATGTGGCCCAATATTTCACTACTGCTGGATCTTTGCTTTTCAGTATTCCTAGAATATTCCATGACCCATCCTATTCTTGGTCTTCCTTTTGTATTAAGTCGTCTTTGTTAATAGCCACCTTTAAAGGACCCTAAAATTGCATGCAGAGGGTAAAATGACCACATATGATATATACAAACACGACACAGTACACTGAAAAGCACTCATTACTGCCTGTCTTGACAGGCAGCGCATAATTAACACCAAGCACGCACAATACCCACTTTTTTGTTTTGCTTATACATAATGATCAAACATATTCAGTGCCCTCAGTGCCCAAGGCAGTACCTAGCAGAGATGATATTTGTTAGTAGCTTGAGTAAAGTGGATTATGTCAGAAACAGTGTGAAATGTGAAATGAATCTGACTTCATCAAATAATCTGAACTCAAGGCCAATTCGCAGCACCGCCCCCCTCCCAAACACATAAGATTAACTTCACCCCCCCTTTCTCCCTTCATGTTCTGGCCATGACTTCCTTCTCATTCTTTGCTCTCCCTCTCTCCAAATCTTTCAGCAGCTTTGCTCTGTTCTTAGAGCCAATCCATTGGAAAAGGGAATCAGTAAGATGCTGAATGGGGCGACTTCGCCATCAGGTAGAGAGGAAAGGGGAGGAAAAGAAGAGGGTGTGGTACTCTTTTTCTCCACCACACCCCATCCCCTGAGTCTTGCACTCCAGAACACTGCAGCTCAGAGGGACACAGGGGGTCCACTGGCTCACCTGGGAGCAACCCAAACCAGACCAGCCACCAGGCGCTCTCCCAGGAGGGGGGGGGGGACTTCCCTTAAAGCAAGAAAGCAAAAATTCAGGGGTGAGTGAAATAGGGATTGGTGCAAATACACAGTCCCCAGAGCACCACTGAGAGATTGAAAGGCACCTTTAGATACAGACCCTACAGATTCGCTCACACTCTCAACTCGCTCCCAACTGAGTATTTGGCTGAGAATTTACAGAGAACGGGACACAGGGGGGACCTGAGAGAGTAAGTAGAAAGAGGGCATTACCTCCAGAGACTGCCCTCAGGGCGCGGACTAGGATCGCTTCCCCGAAGTGGCTCCAGTTCAGGGCAAACACAGCTTTCCAGAGCTCAGCCGGGATTCGGACCCGCGTACCCGCAGCGCCGCGCGCATACAGGACGCGCGCCGGGACTCCCGCACACGTTCTGGACCCAGCCAGGCTCGCCTCCCCCTGCCGCGCCGGCTCCGCCACCCCGCGGGCACGCTCGCTCCCGGTGCTCGCCCCTCCGCCTCCCGGTGCCCCCACACCCACCGGTTCCGCGGCGCCCGCTGGGAACCTCTAGCGGAGGCGAAGGGAACCGCAGCCGACCCGCGGCGCCCGGGCTCCGACGCCGGCTGCCGAAAGCCTGCCAGGCGGCGGCGTGGGCTTTGCATGCCCCCCAATCCGCGGGCCGGATGCCGCCGCCCCCACCTGCCCACCTGCGCCAGGCTCACCTGCCACCGCGTTCTAGCTGCTTTCGCCGGTGCCCATTGCTCTCTATGGAAAGGAGCGGGTGGGTCTGCGGTGCTAATGGGGAAAAAATCTTGCCAGGGGTGTTAAAAAAAAAAAAAATCCACGCTGTAAATCAGCCTGGACAGACGACCCAGCCCGATGCGTATTTCCAATAGGTTTCAAAAGTGTAAGGAAAGGACTCTGCCTTTGGCTTCCTACCTTTCAACTGGACACCAGCAGCACCAGCTACTCCTCGACTTGCCCACCAGAGCCATTCGCTCCGGTTGTGCAACTGCGTGGCGACACCCGAGGAAATCATTGTAACTTGGCCTAAACACCCACCCTACCCCAACATCTATTTTAAGTTATTATTCCCTCTGGAGATTCAAGCAGCGGTTTTGCTCTTACCTAGAGGTGCTGTTAATTCTTCAGGTCCCTAAAATCCAAAGCCAAGAATACAAGCACACAAGTCCAGGGGCTTTTCCTTGACTTCCCAGATTCAGCTCTGCTGGCTTTTCCTTTCAAGGGAAACGGGAGGGGAAGGCGGTTAAAAGCCCTCACAGTGGAGGCGCCTCCACACCTTCAAGCTGGTGGAAACAGAGACCAGGGCAACCTTCAAGCACCCAGAAGTCTCCCAGTCAGTCCCTGTTCAGGCAACTTGGCTGCCTATTCAATTTTCTTCTGTAACCCCACAAAAACGTCAGTCACTTCTCTGGCGTTAGACAGGAAAGGATCAGATATTCCCAGTTGCGGCCGCTTCTCTCTTTCTCTGGAAACACCTCTTCCCCTCTTCTCCCCTTAATTAGAAAAATCTAATCTCTGCTTGGATTGGGTGGGGCCAAGGCGTAAAGGTGCTGTAAGAGTCTCTCCAAGGTACTTCAGTACCGCGTTCGCTTAGATAACCCCGGCTCTGAGGTGTCTAAGCCGAGGAAACTTTGAGTAGATGCAGCCCTAACCGAGCGCGGCTGGGCGGGTTTGGGGCACAAGTGAGAAGGCTGCGAGAAGGCGGCTTCAAGGAAGAGGGACCTCAAGCGGGCGGCGGGCGGCCGGCTGCTGGGTTCCACCGGCCCCACTCGGCGCACGAAGTGCGCGCACACACACGCGCACACAGCCGCCCCCCCGCCCGCCCCACGCGCGCGCGCGCTCGCGCCGCTACACACGCACGTCCGGCCTGGTGCCGGCAGCCCCCGGGCTACTGGCCACAGGGAAAGGCGAGTTCTGGCAAGAGGTTCCTAGGATCTATATAATAGGAAGATTCATCACGCCTCACTATTTAGTGAATTGCTAGCAGTTACTGCCTTCGTGTTCTCAAGTCAGTTCGGCTACCTGGCTGCTCGCTGCCCTGTCTCCCTCTTTGACTCTTTGGCTCTTTCCTTGAGGCCAGCTACTCTCCCAAACCCCTGAGTAAAGTCGTCCGCGAAGATTAACCTAGTTCCCATTTCCACCCTCCAGGGCCACCTCCGCCCCTTCTGCGGAATGGAAGTAGCTGCAGCAGTTCACTTGGGAGCTGAGGGGCTCCCCGAGATCCTTCGACTAGAGGAGCTTACACCTCGTTTCCCCGGACGCAATCCCTTCTTAAAACGCCTTTCTTGCCCTCACTTAATGTTTTCCCCAAGGAGTTCTTAAAGCTGCTAACGTATTTTTTTAAAGGAACTGCCCTGGAACTTGGGATGACTATCTTTGAGAAGTGGGCTAATTTAGTGTCTACGCTTATATTGTAAACTGGACGGTAGCAGGTGAACAGCTCAGCTGGAGAAAGGGGAGGGATTAGGAGTCTGGAGACCCAACCCCTTTAGCAGCCATTTCCAAGGTTTTGCTCTAGAAGTAGCTGTGGGAACCTCTAGCTAGCTTCTGTCCTAACTTTGTATTCTTCCCTAGACGGTAGGGGATGGATCGCTGGGTGCTGCACAGTGAGAAACCCCAAGCCAGAGGCTCCAGGATCATCCACAGCTCTATGGAAAGTATCCTCTCAGTGGGAGTTTATCTTACCCAGACTGAACTGCAGGAATGAATTGCTCTTGGAAAGTAAACTTTTGGCCATTGGTTTGTTTTTGTTGTTGCTTATTTATCAGGCATCGCCTTTTTTCCTCTGCGCTGACTCCACACCAGAAGAGCGTTACTTTGTCTTTCCAAGTACTGGATCGACTTTGGAGGTCTGCGGGGTTTTCCACTCAGTGGCTGCTCGAATCTCTTTAAGGCATGGGACCTGCCGGCAGAAAAAGCAAAGTGATGCAGCACGGAGGTGGCGCTAGGTTCCTTCGCATCGGGGCGCCTCTCCTCTACAGTCTCCATACGCGTGGCGCCTCCTCAGAACGAGGGTCTCCTGATTGGTCTTCTTCAAGTTGGAAGCCGGTTAACTGTCCGCAAGAGAGAACAGTCTGCAAATACAGAACATGATGTTGGGGAGTGCTTAAGTGGAACGAGATGAGGATTTAGTATAAACAATTAAACTTGTGTTGGTAGGAGCTCTGAAAGCGCTTCTAGCAGCTCAGAAATCAATTCAGAGCATTACAAGGTGAGCATTGTTGCGCCTAGGAGCTGTAGATCAGTAGGTAAAGGCTCAAGTTTGAATTTCAGGAGCCGACCTGTTTTAGATTCTGCGTGAGTCAACTCTGGCAGAAGCACTGCCCAAGAGGGACTGTTGGTGTTAGGGGTGATGCATCCATGAAGACTGCTCCTTGGAGGTAGAGAACAGCTAACAACTCTCTCCCACTATCTTGTTCTGCCATTCAAGGTTGCTCTTAGATCGGTTCATAGGGAGTTGGAATGTGTGTTCCACACCTGGCATTTCTTTCAGCGACTGTTAAGGAAAGAGCTTGAAGCTAGATTGCTGAACCTGCATGAAGAAACAGTGAACAATGAATTTGGTAGAAAGATGCTTAGTGATATATAGAGGCATTTTTATTTCCGTGTGTGCCAGGAGCGATTTTTTGAGGCTTGATATCCCAAGATGACTTTGGACACTGACTTTTGCAGCGTTTCAAGTGGAGGATGTGCTGCAGTGTTTTCCAACCTGGTATAATCTGTAAATTGTCTGCTTGCCACAAGGTTTGATGCCTTTTTGAGTTCTAATTCTTAATCCTAATTAATAAATGTCTGCTCCTGATACTGAATGAAGTGGGAATAAAAATTATAATAAACCATTTTCAACAAAATGTTATCTTTAACTTATGATTCCTAATTACATAATCCTATCAGTGAACAATTAAATATTGTGGAAGACTTTTAGACATGAATTACAGAGCTGGATTCGAGAGACTCACTTAGTGAAAGAAAATTAAAAATTTAGGACAGCCTCCTCTCCAAAAAGGTACAAGTGTCAAATTACTTTTATGGTTGTTTTTCTGAAAATCACTATCTGCTACTAAAGCGCCTTTTTAAAATAAGCAGAAATAGGTCATTTATACATTTGTCAAGTTAAATATCTGGGGAGTTCTTTGTAATGCTTGGGAATGTTGTGGAAAGTCAGGTACAAATCAGAGAAGAGTCTATTTCATTTGCCCTGGGTTGTGGTCTACAAGGTGTGTAGGCAGCAGTAAAAATCTGGAACAGAATATTCTTGACATTTAAGCATCTTTAACAAAGAAAAAATCTGTGTATTTATGGACTCTCCTCAGGAAGAATTCTCTTATTCCTCTTGTAAGAATGCAATATCCTCAATAATTTTTTTGGGGGGGGATTTTTGAGAAACCAAAGTCACAATAGTTATTGTTATGCAAAAAGAAATGGAATAAAAATCAACTTTCCCAGCATCACTTTGCATATTCTCTCTTTATGGGAGGAAATAGTTGACAATAAATAAGAAAAGCAACTTCAAAATCAACAGATTCACTCCATTTCCTTACACCTTATATCTAGCTTCAGAATTAAGAAGAAACTATTGAATCTAAATGGTATTGTTAAAACCTGTAGTCTTCCAAGTTCTACCACCACCACCAAATTAAAATAGCTACTGCATCGTTCTAGTATTTTATGTTTCACCATATTCTCTGAAAAGTAGAAATTGAAGCTGGGCATGTAAGATATCTCTTCCAATGAAAAGTATCTTGAAGATTTTACTTCAAGATCATTGTTTTATAAACTTTATGTTCAGAACTCCTTTTTACTTTCCTGGAGCATAGTACTTAACCTAAGGATGTATTGCTTTGTTATAGATTAAAATTATTCTTTCCCACTACACTGTGGATTCAGAAGGTTGATGTCATATAAACTGTTGTTCTTCAACATCTACTTCCAAATCTAATACAGAATAAAACAGGAGCATATAATAATGAAGCTAGTGATAATAAAAGCCAGTATTTACTGAATAAGTGCTATGCGATGTGATTTACATCCATTATCTCAGTTGTTCCTCTATATCCCAAAATTATATGGAGATTGAAGCATATGCAAATTTGCCTTTCATGACAAAGCTATTTTGTCACAATTGAGTTAACATGAAACCTATATCTGTCTAACTCTGAAACCTGGACCACCATGAATAATTTCTCAAGTTCAAATAATCTGGCACACATATTTTCAGTTTTTTAATGTTAAGGAAAAAACTGTGTGTGTGTGTGTGTGTGTGTGTGTGTGTGTGTGTGTGTGTGTGTAAAATAAAGGAATGTGGCAAACATAGCATGAGGTCCTTTAGGTCTTATCCAATTTGGTCAATGTCTGAGTATAAATTATAAAAACATTTAAATGGTTTAGTTCTTTGACTGTGTTAAAATATGATAGCATTTTCTTGGAATCATTACCATCAAACACTAAATGCTGAGTTACAAGTTTCCTTCATTATTTCAATATTGTTTTCCTATGTGATAAAATATACAAGAGAATGTTATTATGAAGTTTCAATCATGTAAGATGAATAAGTTCTATAAATATACAAAATTGTACCTATAGTTAACAATACTATACTGTACACTTAAAAATTTGTTGAGGATAAATCTAATTTTAAGTGTTATTACCACAGTTTTTAAAATAGCACAAATAAAATTCTTAGAACATTAATTGCAATGAGTTTACAATGACATAGGAACATGCCACCGATATGTGATTTTAAGTTTCTAGTGGCTCACATTATAAAATATTTCTTTAAATATATTATTATGGAACACATACAACATCTTCATACCATGAGAGATATACTGCTATGAAGAAAAAAGAAAGAAAAATGAAAAAAAAATGTTCTTCATGTTGATATTGGAGGGGTAGGTATTCATGTTATTTTTAGGTGAATATAGCTAGGGAGAGCAAAGGGTTTCAATCATATATTAACAAAATTGGTTGGGGTTGTGGGATAAGTGGGAAGTTGTTGTCAAAGTTAGAGACAGTTTTTGTTGTTGTTGTTGTGTGTGTGTGCCATGTGAAAGTTTTCCTTTAAAATGAAAAAAAGAATGTCTTTGAGGAATTGCATGAAGAGTTTAGTACATGCATCTCTTTTACTTAAAAAACAAAGTTTAAAAAGAAAAAGTTGGTAGAAGATGTTCAAGAATGTGGCCTACAGTACCTTCTCTCACCCACTACCTTCACCAGGAAAAGACCTTGGGAGAAAGGAGGGAGAGCAAGTGTTAAACTATGGTGACCATAAGGAACACAATAGCTAGGTGGTTTAACCAGCAGAAATTTATTTCTCACAATTCTGGAGCTTGGAAGTCCAAGATCAAGGTGCCAGCTTGGTTTGATTCCTGGTAAGAGCTCTCTTACTAGTTTGAAAACAACCACATTCAAGCTATGATCTCACATGACCCTTCCTCCATGTATTCAAGTGAGAAAGAGAGAGGTATTTCTTCCTCATTTTATAAGACCACTAATTCCACACCCTTATGACCTATCTAACTGTAATTACCTTCCAAAGCCTCATTTGCAAAATACACTGCATGGTGGGGTGGTAAGAGTTCAACATATGAATTTAGGTAGAATAACTCAGCATGCAGTCCATAGTGGGAGGTAAAAGGACTAAACCCTTTGTCACTTGGACATCCTCTGGGTAAATAGACTAATGACATATACAAGGAGGAAGAGACTTGTCATTGAAGAGTCCTCAGCTGACTGTCTCTGGTTTAGAATTATCTATAATGGGTAGAATCAAGATCTATGACTCCTGGAGAACATCATATAGGCTCTCTAGCTAGAGATGTTTTATAATTTTTAATGCTATCCACTGTGTGAAGAATTGTGCACACCTCACTTGGAGACATCTATTCTAGGCTACAAGGACATATCTGTTATGGGAAGGAATGATCTAGAAAGCCATTCTTGAATCTCTTGTTTGTATCCTTGAAATTATTCAGTTTATATTGATACCACTTATAGTTTCTGATTCAAGGCAGACTGATTTGAAAATCCAGTCTTATAAAATAGTTCATAAAGTTTCTGGTTTAATTCAGATAATGACAAGCCTTTTTTAAAGACCTTGTAAATACCAGGAATATTCTAAGATAATTAGACTAGTGATTCATTTAATTCTAACAAACCTATTCATTATTTTCATTTTACAGGTGAGAAAGCAGTTACAGAAAGGTCAAGCACTTTTTCAAAAGTCAAATAGCTATATAAGTGGTGCACCAGGGTTTGAACCTTGGTAGTCCAAATTCAGAGTCCACATTTTTAAACTACACCATACCAGAAGAGTCTCTATTATCTGTAAGGTTAGAACAGGAACTTGGCTTTACTATTTCTCACAGGCTCCTCAGGTTGGAAGTGGTACATGGCTTCAGATTGGATAGTGGAGAGGGATGAACAAATGTTGGTAACAATAACTGAGTAGGCCCCATGTGTGAGGCCCTGTGGTAATTGCATGATATATATTATCTTACTTAACTTTCACACAATCCCACGATCTAGGCAATATTACTATCATTTTACTAATGATCAGCATTACTATAAACTGTTTCCTCAAATCTCACTGCCATTCAATACACAAACAATTTCAGCCCAGGACCCATTGCTTTTCACCATTATGTCGAAGTGCCTTTAACTTAGACCATTATTTTAAACTACAATGTTGTATTTGTCACTAAGTCACTTGCTTAAAATTCAGTCACCATTCTAGAGTTTCAATTCAAAACACATGTTACAACAAAATAAATGGAGACCAAACACAGAGTTGGAATAAATATCTTTCTAAGCAGTTGGAGTGTTTTGCTGAAGAAACTCCTTAAGTGTCAGCGATTTACCACTTGCCATCCTCCTAAGATAAGTGGGTGCCCTGGTGACTATTTTTGACATATTTTTGACAAGGGAGGAAATCAGACAAGGTAAGATGGTTGGAGAAAAACCATAAATGTTCCTTTCTTTTTGCAACTTTAGTCCATTTGATTTCTTACACAGAAGTCAGGCTTGTTTTCTTCAACTGTCTCTCAGCCTGTCAGTCGCTAAGTTCATAAGCCATCATGTAAAATTTAAAAATGCCCCTTCTCTTTTGTGCATTAGAAAAACGAAGCAACCATGCTGGGGTTGTGGCTCAGTGGTAGAGCACTTGCTTAGCTTGTGTGAGACACTGGGTTCGATTCTCAAAACCACATATAAATGAATACAATAAAGGTCCAAAGACAAAAAAAAAAAAGGAAAGAAAGAAAGAAAAATGAAGCAACCAATAGAAGTTTTTCATTTCTATCCTGTTTTAAATTCCCCTTTCCTTAAATTCTAAATAGAAACCAGGATTTAGAAGCATGAGAGTAGAGTTGTCATCTAGGGGCCAACTATGGATGAGCTCAAGGTTGCAGGTTACCCTGAAACTAATGGACAGCCTGGAAAAAAGTTATCTCTGGATAAACACATCTCTTTATCATGGGCAATCCATAGATTATGGAATTAGATACCCTGAGTTTGAATTCTGGCTCTGAGACTTGCTAGTTTTTCAGGGGCTTTGGCCATGGTTTGAAATTATTCCCCAAAGGTCCATATGTCAAAGGTTTGATAGCCTGTTTGTGTCACTACTAGGAGACAGTGATCCCTTCAAGAGTTAGCATCTAGTAGAAGGCCCTTCCTCTATCTCTTGCTTTACTTCCAGTAGTGTGAAGTAAATAGTCTTCCTCAACACATTTCTATCATGATATACTGGGCTGTCACAGGCCGAGAGCAACAAACTCAATAAACCATGGATTGAAACCATGAGGCAAAATTGACTTTCACTCCTTTTAAGTTGTTTACCTCATGTATTTTGTCACAGTGATGGAAAGCTGTCTAACACAATCCTCTAAATCATTTTAGGGGAACAGGAATAAGGGAACGTTCAGGAAAGGAAGGAAGTACATGCAATTCTACCCAGTGGCATACATTTTAAGCAGAATCACAATGACAAAATTGGCAGAAAAATGAAT